TGTGACGACCGTGTCAGTCTTACTGAAACAGATAAGAATGATGAAAAATTCTTAAATTAATACAATTCTGATGCTGAATCTGAATAACATAGTTTCGAAGTCTCATCAGTATTATTATTGATCGAAATTTTGAAATTTCTGAAAAAAGTGCGAAATAGATCATTTTCATAGCTATTTTTGTATTTCGAACTTTTTTCATCCAAAACGTGACCAACAAATATTTTAAAGGTGATGTCCGTGATCAGCTCAACAAACTCTATCTAACCATGTAAAAAAAATAAAGAAAAAAAAAATTTTGCTCATGTTTTGCCCTTGGTGCACCTTACCTGAAAGTAACTTCAAGTATCCTAAAGTACCATTCAAGTAGCTGAAAGTAATTTCAAGTAACTCTAAGTAACTTCAAGTGCAAAAGTACGCTTTTTCCCCCCTAGACTATTTTTCGTCTACTTTCAATACAAGAAAGAGAAAATTGATTTAGAGACAATTTTATTCAGCTTAACTGAATAAATGATAAATCTACATTACAAGGTGTAGAAAAGGACAAAAAAACCATAGAAAATAAAATGTATTACATAAAAAGAATACAATAATTAATTGCTAGAATAAAATGAAAGAGAAAGTTGCATTTGACGACATGAATTTATCAATGATGTTCATTGACGTTGACGGCTGTCGCCATAACCACCTGAGCTACCATCTTGACGAGATGATCCACCAATATCCGAATCTTCAACAAAAAAATCAAATTTCTTTTAAGTTGACTATCATTTTAAAGTAAAGTCTTTGAATAAAAAATAGAATTATGAACTTACCGATATCACGATTAGTACCCATTCCACTTTGACCAGCTTTATTTGAAATACCAGTATCACTTGATCCTTCATATCTTTGACCACTTAATCCTCCATATCCTTGATTACTTGATCCTCCATATCCTTGATCACTTGATCCTCCATATCTTTGACCACTTGATCCTCCATATCCTTGATTACTTGATCCTTCATATCTTTGACCACTTGATCCTCCATATCCTTGATCACTTGATCCTCCATATCTTTGACCACTTGATCCTCCATATCCTTGATCACTTGATCCTCCATATCTTTGACCACCTGATTCATAAAAACTACCTGATTGACCACTAATACCAACATCTTCTGAACCTTTCATTGATGAGGAACCTGACTGTTGTGCTGTATCACGATTCCAATTTGGTTGATTGCCTGAGTATGACATTTTGAAATGCTTTATGCAATATAGAAAATAAATGTTTTGTAACTGTTTGAAAATTTTGTCTGTAGAATAGTATTGAGGGTGTGTCTTATATAGGAACGATAGTGCGTAATTGTATAAGTGTTTACCAAAGAAAAAAAATCTTTCTTTTCAGCCTTAATAGAGATAATGAAGTAAAAGAGAAAGAGTCATCAAAACTAGATGAACAGACGACAAATATTATTTATTGACGGAGTTTCTTTCATACTTATGCTTTTTTAAAAAGAGAGGTTATTGAGTTCAATTTATTCTTGTTCGCATAACAGACGAGGTAAGTGAGAACGATTCTTCGTTCTGTTCCAACTGTGATTTTTTTATTTTCTAGAAAAAATGATTTGTACGCATAGAACAACTTTATTTTGTTTTTTGAAAAGTCGTCATTTTTAATTATAACAGTTGTGACAAACTTACATCACTATAGACCATTAAAAATAATTTATTTATAGCATGATTCAAAAGAATATCGTAGATCTTTACATATACATCTTTAAAAACAAAGTGTTCTTCTATGAGTCTCTAAGTTTAATCTCAATACTTTCACAAGATTTCATTGAATACAGCTAATAGAACGCTGCATGATTACACGTCTCATCAACCTTTATTATAAAGGCACATTAGAAACAAACCTAAGTCGCATATATCTTTTTATTTCTTTGCTACTGACATGCACCCAAATCCAATAGAAGAATTTGGGTATTTCAAACTTATCTCACTGATTATGAACTGTATCAATAAACTGTATCGCCATTAATATTGAAGGAAGTCTGTCTTTGACAACTAAATGAAAAATGATCAAATGAGCTGCTTCATTAAATGAGATATTCAAAGAGAACTGAACAACTTCCCAAACCCAAACCCAATGAACTTGGGTTTGGGTTTGGGTTTGGGTTTTGTGATTGATTTTAGTATTTAGTATAAGAAGGTTGCCGAAATATCTCTTTTGGTATTCTATAGTGTCATCCTCCTACTTAAGTTTTTCACTGAAGAAAAACTGTTGTATAGCATGGTTCAGTAAATAAGGGCATTTTTCCTTATTTGGGCAGAAGTGACCCAAACGGTTTGGGTGCATGCCTATTTGCTACATATTAGATTTTTCTGCGGCTTTGGGTGTGGGTGGGTATGGTGTGTAGGTGTAGATGTGGGTGAGTGTGAATGTGGGTGTGATGATATTCACTTCAAAGAAACAAGGTCCACAACTTCATATCCACCTAACCACACCCTAAGGACTAGTCATTATGTCAGCGACCCGTTATCTGACGACGCAAATAACTCTCAATAACTAAGTTAACTTTCTATTCGAATTAAAAAGCAACAGTTCATTACTTGCAACGTTTATCTGATTGATAGAAAAATGAAAGAATCACTGGGGCATATCGAACATTGTACAGGCAACTTTTCCTCGTTTCAAATGGCAAGAGATTTTTGACTTATAAATATTTATTTCGGTTCTCTTCTTCTTGAGGGTGTGGGTGTGGGTGTTATTTAAGAGGTGATCAACACCCACACCCTCGTTATGCATTTATTATACATTCTCTTCTTGCTTTTGAGTACCATACAGATAATCAAAACCTAATGCTTTAGAAAAAGAAAGAATAAGGTTACTAGTTTATCATTTATTCTTCGGAGATGCTTTTCATTGATTATGGATTTTCTTTTCTGAGCATTATTATTTATTAAGAATCTAGATTTACAACTAATAAATGTAAAACCATAAATGAATAATGGTAAATTATATTGAAATATGAATATATACGGAAAAAATATATTAGTTTCGTTCGAATAATCAATAATAGATGTAATAAGCAGCATATATTCGAAATAGCTTGGTTAAAAATTTTCAATAACAGTTTCTATTTGAAAAACGTATCTTCTCAGTCATCGAAGCCTCAATCACAACAGGATGGCTGATCTGGTCTCCAGACAGGAGGACAGCAAGGAAGGCAGCAATCATAATTGGTATTACAGTGTAAGCAGTTCCTGTTACATTTTGCAATGTTGTTTTCCGGGATGCATTGGTCATTCGAACATTTGCAGTTACAGGCTGTAGTTCCTCCATTGACAATAGCAAGATTATTTATGATAACAAATAATATCATAAATATTACCCAATAATGAAAACGATCCATTTTAGTGATATTCAATAATATTCTTCTTGAATTAAAATTTTTATGATTATTGTAATGTCTACGGGAGCATCTGTATATAGAAAATACTATTCAGAAAAATAAACGAATGGCTTTCGCAAAAAATTGTGACGCCACTTTATATTATGTATTCGTGAAGGTGATATACGCAATTATATGTGCGTCATTTTTTCTTCATTTGTTATTTTCTCTTATTTATCATATGACAGCCATCTATACCTGGTATGACAAAATGTTTGCAATATTTTTTGTTTTGTATATATAGTTTGTAAAATAAAGCATAAGACCACCCATATATTTTTTCATATTATTTGATTTACGCACTAGAAACAAAGGATATAATTTTTATTTTTTCATCATTAGATAGCCCTCATTTCGTACTCTGTTCTCTAGGACAGTGACAGATTTCAGTTCATGGAGTTGGTGAATAGTTCAAAAGAACCGGTTCAACAGTTTCTGTTCCTAGGACAGGAACTGGTCTACCAGTTCCAGTTCTTAGGATAGGAACTGATCTACTAGTTCCTGTTCTTCAGAGCTGATATGAATCTGTCACTGTCCTACTATTCTCTGTAAAAATCATCAATTTCGACAATCATTTCGAATTTTGGCAATTTTTCTCGTGAAAAGAACCCGATATTTAACGTTAGAGAGCGTGTGTAAAATATGCACTTTGGCCTCTGTATTGTCTCATCCCATTTTAATTGTTTATGGATTATTCTGAGACACATGCCATTCGATAGAGCGTCGATTGCGCTACAAAGTGGGATATTTTTTATTTGAAACAGGTTCTGAAAGTACCTCGAAATAAAGATCTTTCTCCGAACCACTCTTTTTTTCGGTACATGCTTCCAGTAAATATTGGTTTTCTCCACCACAACAAAATCAAAATTAGCTTCCAAATACATCATTAGAAAGAGCGTCAACAACTGCATCGCATAGACTAATTTAAAAATTTTTTGAAGTGTTCTGAAAACAATTGTCTTTTTTTCATGGATCTGGTGTGAACATCCGCAGCCTGTGTTGCCTGTCGCACCTATCATTATTCATACTTGAACTTTAATTTTCTTCTAATCATATAGGTTTGTAGAGAATTCAATTATCTACAAGATTGACGGTACGCTGTTTCAAATAATATTGGCGTCACATTTTTTTCTAATGTGTATAGTTTCAAATAAACAATGATAAGCACGCCTTATTCGTACCCTGAACTTTTTTCCTTCAAAATTTCACTAAAAGCTAAGCTAGAATTTTCTTTTTGCCTCTATCTTATAGCCCGAAATTTCTACTTTCTACAGATTATATTGTGGTAAAAAATAGCAATACCCCATAAGGAAAGAAACGAAAAAGTTCAGGGTACGAATAAGGCGTGCTTATCATTGTTTCTTTGGAACTAAATGCATAAATCCAAACATCGACTGCCATTCGAAGCTGTTTGCATGTTTTGGGTTAAGAGAGAGTCCATGAGACCAGATCTGTAGCCAGGAATTTTCTAAAGGGGGGGGGGGGGGGCTCGATCTTTTTGGACCCAAGAAAGTGTGATGCTTTGCCGGCCTAATTGTAACGCTCCCGGTTGAGTGCATTGTATTCATGATGTTTGACCTTTCCTTACTATTTCTTCTCATCTTATGTATTGTCCTTATATTTCTGTCCTTACTTCGTACATCATGTTATACTTAGTCCCTATCACATTGCTCTTACTTTCTGTCCTTATTATCCTTTCCTTTCATATTGTTTTCTTCTCTTTGATGGTTGAGTATATAAGCGTATGCTTTGCATGAAAACGATACGATTGTATGATATGAAGGATTAGAATAAAGTGTATCTCCATCCACACTAACACCCCTTCTATCAGACATCGTCACACTAATAAATTTTGCAACTGACTATTATCAACCTGCTTTTTTTCTCCAGTACGTTCGAGCGCCTTTGCAAAAGGCTGATCTGCGTGTAAACATTTTTCGGCAAAAATTATCATGAACGAAAAACATTTCTGCCTCCAATAATGCTTGTGCTTTTAGTGTGGGCAATGTGAACAAAGCAAATTGTGAATATGTTTTCACGACTGGTAATTCGATGTTGACTTGGCTGCAATGTCGAAGTACCATGTTCGAAGATTCCGCGAATGATCAAGAATGGCACAAAATTGTTGAATAGTGCATGTGTTTATTCGCAAATATTCTAATGTGCAGTTGGCCGGCCATGGGATTTTGTTAATTTCACGATAATAACTAATATTGAAATCGAGTCGACGAAGATTAGACTGTGTGACAATGGATAAGAGTAGAGGGTGTGGGTGTGGGTATGAGTGGGTGTGGATGGGTCTGGGTGTGGGGGGTGGGGGGGGGGAGGTGGGGGGGTGGGTGGGTGTGGGGGGGGGTGGGGGGGGGGGGGGGGGGGGGGGGGGGGGGGGGGGGGGGGGGGGGGGGGGGGT